TCTACCGGGGGAGGACCTGGTGCAAGGAAGAGCGGCGGCGGGGGGAGAGGCACAGTGTGGTAGGGGAAGAGACGGTAGTAAGGTACCGACTCGTCATAGGTGACGTCCTGGGAGGACAGAACACGGTGCGAGGTGGGGTGGTAAAACTGCCAGCCAGGCGCGTCAGGGGGGAAGCCAAGGAAGACGCAGGGAACAGCACGAGGGGACAGCTTGTCCGCAGACAAGTCGCGGACAAACGCCCGAGATCCCCAGACCCGAAACGCAGACGCATCGCCAACCTTCCCGGTCCACCGCAAGGCGGGGGAGGTCTCTGGCAAGGAGACCCGGGGCTGAAGGTTGAGCTGATGCGCCGCGTACTGAACCGCAAACGGCCACAGAAAATGGGGGGCAACCGCATGCATCATGGACGTACGAGCGACGTCCATGACCATGCCAATGCGGCGCTCAGCAATCCCATTTTGCTGTGGAGAGGCCGGAAGCGTGAAGGTCTGGCGGATGCCCTGTGCATGACAGAAGGCTCCCAGACGGGCAGAGGAAAACTCTCCGCCTCTGTCCGAGTGCAGACGCAGAACAGGAAAGTCCGAGCCGAAACTCTCTCTGAGCTGGAGACGAGCTGCGCGGATCCAGTCGATCAACACCTCAGTGACATCACCCTTGCTGCGCAAGGGGAAGACTGTGGTGTAACGCGAGTAGTCGTCAACCACTTGCAGGAAGTACCGCTCGCGCCCCTGCCCACTGACGCGGGCTGGGCCCCACACGTCCATGTGGAGAGTCTGCAGCGGAGCCTCTGTCGGAGGAAACTCGGAGGAGTGAGGGGCGGCGCGCTGTCGCCCCTCGACGTAGGGGACGCAGGTAGGGCCTGGCCCCGGATGAAGGGGAGGGAGAGACCGAGGGAGACCAGAGACAAGGACACGGGAGGCCATGGCTTGGCAGGGAGGGGTGACCAAGGCGGTTGTGCCAAAGGAGATTCTGGTGGGACAGCAGACGACACGAGCAGGGAGCAGACTCAGGACCAGACCTGGACGCCGCAGCAAACACCTGACTCGACGCAGCTACCTGGGCAGACTCAGAAGCCGGAGAAGACTCAGTAGTAAGAGTGTACTGGCTCGACCCTGGCCGACGGGTGAACGTGGCCAAGTGTCGGCCTGTCTGAGCACACGTGCAGTGGGTCACTCGTTGACTCGCAGGAGTGAACTGGTCAACCCCCCTATCCTGTAGGTCCGCTCCACTCACCAAGTTCGTAGAGAACGAGGGGAGGTAGAGACCAGACAGGGTGCCAGAGGGGGCTGCAGGGCACGGTAGGACAGTGGAGAAGCTAGCAAGGACAAGACCCCCAGAGGGGTCTGCAAGGGAGACTGCAACTGGCCGACTGAGCGGCGTAAGTGTGGTGCGGTCTCGAAAGAAGGAGCGGGACGCACCCGAGTCCAGGGTGAAGGTGTGTAAGGTCTGAGCCGACGTAGTACCTGAGAGCGCAGACTCACCAACACCTGGGGCAGCAGACGCACTAGCACCTGGGGCAGCTGACGCACTAGCACCTAGAGCAGCAGCCTCACCAGCACCTAGAGCAGTAGCCTCAATGCCCGGGTCAGGCGGTACACACAGGTAACAGTCACCCTCATCACTAGTAGGCAATGCATACATGGCAGTGAGGATAGCATCATAGTCAAGAGAATAGATATCGACCAGCAGCCGAAGCAGCTCCACCCAATCGGGGAGCTCAGCCGCGTCGCCAAACTCCGTACGCCAGGCGTCACTCAGAAGGGCGAAGCAGTGGGACGGTGCGTGAGTGAGCGCCTGCAAGGGTGACCAATCCGAGCACCAGTGCGAATGACGTACGGACAGCGAGCAGTACGCCGTGACCCGTCACCCTGCGCGTACCACGCACGAAGCAGCTGGGGCGAGAGGACCACTCGCGGACGACGCTGAGGCTGCACCTGGTCACTATAAGTAGCTGCCGAGCTACTCTATCCAGGACGACTCCCACTACGGCCACCCCGACAACCCCAACTAGCGTACCACTCACGGAGCTGTTGGGGGGTGAGGGACTCACGCGGGCGACGCTGGAGCTGCATCTGGCCACGCCAGGAGCAGCAGTAGTATTAGAAAGAGCAGCAGTAGTAAGAGCAGCAGTAACAGCAGTACGGGCAGGGCAGTGCTCACCAGTGGCGAGAAGGGCAGGCGTACGACGGCGGCAACGGCGACGCCACTACCACTGTAGAGCGGGAGCTCCGCGGCTGCTGCAGTGGCGGTTGCTCCAGGGGCGGCTGCTGCAGTGGCGGCTGCTCCAGGGGTGGCTGCTGCAGTAGCGGCTGCTCCAGGGGCTGCTGCAGCAGTAGCGGCTTCTCCAGGGGCGGCTGCTGCTGTGGCGGCCGCTCCAGGGGCGGCTCCTGCAGTGGCGGCCGCTCCATGGGCGGCTGCTGCAGTGGCGGCTGCTCCAGGGGCGGCTGCTGCAGTGGCGGCTGCTCAAGGGGCGGCTGCTACAGTGGCGGCTGATCCAGGGACGGCTGCTGCAGTGGCTGCTGCTCCAGGGGCGGCTGCTGCAGTGGCGGCTGCTCCAGGGGCGGCTGCTGCAGTGGCGGCTGCTCCAGGGGCGGCTGCAGTAGTGGCGGCTGCTCCAGGGGCGGTTGCTGCAGTGGCGGCTGCTCTAGGGGCGATTGCTGCATTGGTGGCTGCTCCAGGGGCGGCTGCTGTAGTGGCGGCTGCTCCAGGGACGGCTGCTGCAGTGGCTGCTGCCCTAGGGACGGCTGCTGCAGTGGCGGCTGCTCCAGGGGCGGCTGCTGCAGTGGCGGCTGCTCCAGGGGGCGGCTGCTGCAGTGGCGGCTGCTTCCAGGGCGGCTGCTGCAGTCGCGTCTGCTCCAGGGGCGGCTCGGCTGCTAGGCTGCTCGCTAGGGGCGACAACGGGGCCGGGTAGGGGCGGCAACGGGGCCGCTAGGGGCGGCGACGGGGTCGCGTAGGGAGCAGAGTGGCGACGGGGCCGCGAGGGGCGACGACTGGGCCGCGTAGGGGCGGCGACGAGGCCGCTAGGGGCGGCCGCTGGACCACGTAGGGGCGGCGACGGGGCCGCTAGGGGCGGCGACGGGGCCGCGAAGGGAAGAGAGCAGCGACGGGGCCGCTAGGGGCGGCGAGGGGGCCACGTAGGGGCGGCGACGGGGCCGCTAGGGGCGGCGACGGGGCCGCGTAGGGAAGGGAGCGGCGACGGGGCCGCTAGGGGCGGTGACAGGGCCGCGTAGGGGTGGCGACGGGGCCGCGTACGGGCGGCGACGGGGCCGTGTAGGGAAGGGAGCGGCGACGGGGCCGCGTGGGGCGGCGACGGGGCCGCGTAGGGGCGGCGACGAGGCCGCTAGGGGCGGCGACGGGGCCGCGTAGGGGCGGCAGCAGGGCCGCATAGGGAGGGAAGCGGCTACGGGGCCGCTAGGGGTGGCGACAGGGCCACCAGGGGCAGCGCCGAGGCCGCGTAGGGGCGGCAACGGTGCCGCTAGGGGCCGCGAGGGGCCGGGAAGGGCGGCAACGTGGCCGCGAGGGGCCTGGAAGGGCGGCAACGGGGCCGTGTAGGGGCGGCAACGGGGCCGCTAGGGGCCGCGAGGGGCCACTAGGGGCCGCAAGGGGCCTGGAAGGGCGGCAACGGGGCCGCGTAGGGGCGGCAACGGGGCCGCTAGGGGCCGCGAGGGGCCTGGAAGGGCAGCGACGGGGCCGCTAGGGGCGGCGCGAGGGGCCTCTACGAGAGCTCGACAGAAGGGCGGCCCATAAGGCGCGCCTCGGGCAGGAGCGACTGGCGCTCCGGTCAGAAAAAGTTTCCAGTGGTGGGCCCAAGGAAGCGTTCCCACTAGGGAACCTGCTCTATACCATGTGAAGATTAGAACGAGAGAATGAATGAACTATGAAAGAGTTGGGTACAAGTACTAACCCTAATTGGGTTGTACCCCTTATGGGCTACCCCACTACAGCCTACGCAAAGCATAAGCTATAATGTTCTGACACACGGCCCTAGGGTCACCAAGTCTCAGCTTCGCGCATACGTGAAGTACATGGTTCCGGAGTTGAATCTCGATGCCGAGTCCAGCAAGGAGGGCGACAACGCCACAGGAACACAGCCTGTGCAATCTACAACAGTGCACACGCTCCTTGGGCGCTTAAAGGCATACCAGATGGCGGCGAGAGTGGAGGCGACGATAGACCGGGAGACGGAGCTGAGCATCATGCGAGAGATATCGGTGGTCAGGTCGGAGGTGCGGTTCATGATCTGCACCAAGAACGAGCGGGACATCAAGTGAGTTTTGTTGTAGAGGACTCTGCTCTATTTTGCAGGATCTGGGAATTATTCTAAGCAGTAGAGCACTCTGCTAGCTTTCCAACGAGCCGTAGATCACCTCGTTCGCCTAAGTATCGAGCGAGATATCGCCGTTTATGTGCTAGGTAGTGCTCTTAGAAGCAAGGATAGGAGCTCTCTGGAATTTGTGCTCGAATGTACCTTGTACAAAGAACTCTGAGTTTCACTCTGAAACATGCATACAAGGCAAGTCGATTTATAGCAAATGCATTACATCGAACCGCACATGTAACATCGCATCGCTACACTCGCATCGCGAATGCGCCGCGTGTAACATTTCGGTTGGGGTGAAATTCGGCCACCGAATTTCACACTGAACACACCGAATTCGCCTTGCACTTGAAGGTTGGAATGTGGTGCCGCCACGTGGCACCGAATTGTGAGTCTTCCGAAGTCAATCGGTGCAACCCCACCGATCCCTAGTCAAAGGGATCGAAGGCACCGAAGTGCCCTCGGTGGGTTGGGGGCATACAACCGCCCCACCACCGAACTCCCTCCAACACTCCCCCTTGCACCCAACCCATTAGGTGCGCAAGCCAACATGCTCATAGCATGCACGGGGTGAACCTTTAGGGAGTGGTTCCGTGAGGGAATCCGCGTGTTCATTATCACCCTTGGTCGCGAAGCAATATGCCACGCCCTCCTTATCCGTCTCCCCAACGGCTACCGTAGGTTAGTCGGCGTACTTGGAGGGAGGACGAACCTCACGACGCTCGTGAGTCAAGGCCAATGGTAGGGAGGAAGGTGTGGAGGTAGTTGCCGCCTCGGTTGGTGACACCTCCTCGACATCATCAACGCTCTCCTCGTTGTTCCCTCCCCCTCCTTCTTCGGCTTCCTTCTCCACTTGAGATGGAACCTCACTCTCTTCAACCTCCTCTCGTGGCGAAAGGATGAAGGTGAGTTGTTGAGTGGGTTTTTCCTTTGACGGGAACTTGTCTTCATCGGAGACCACGTCCCGAGACGTGACAACGCGCTTTTCACCCAAGTCCCACACTCGCCATGCACGCTCGTTTGGCGCCACTCCCAAGAAGATCGCCGCACGAGCTTTCGGTTGCAACTTGTGGCGAACTGGATCCGGTACATGGTAGTAGCAAAGGCACCCAAAGGTGCGTAGGCGGTATAGGTTCGGCTTCGTTCCGGTCCTTGCTTAGAACAAAGTCGTTCCCGGTAGCACCTTTGTTGGCACACGATTACGAATCCATGCCGCTAGCGCACTCGCCTCTCCCCACCACTCATTCCCAAGCTTGGAGTGTTGAAGAGGTGAACGGACGGCCTCCACCAATGTGCGGTTGAGTCGCTCCGCTGCTCCGTTTTGTTGGGGTGTGTAGGGTGTCGTGACGTCGTGCTTAATGCCCTTGCTTTTCATCCATTTTTCAAGCTCGTTGTTCACGAATTCGCCGCCACCATCGGTGCGAATGCACTTGATCCGCTTCTTGCCGTTGTCGCAAAAGTCGAGCGCCCACTCTTGAATCGCCTTGGCCGCATCTCCTTTAGCCTTCAAGAGCCGGGTCCAACACATCCGCGTTGCGTCGTCGAGCATCACTAAGAGGAACCGCACTCCTCCCTTTGATGCATGCCGCATCGGTCCACACACGTCCATGTGAACAAGCGCAAGCGGGTCCTTAGCGAGGGGTGAGGTACGGCTACCAAATGGCTTGCGAGCCATTTTTCCTTCGACAAACGCCGCGCACACACCCTTCTCGTCGTTGCCGGCGATCACGTCGACTCCCTTCGCAAGTCCTTTGTTGGCCAACTCCTTGACCGACTCGTAGTTGGCGTGCGCAAGCCGATTATGCCACGCCTTAAGAGTCGCCTTGGAGCCTTGCGCCACGTTGGATGAAGCCGCTCTCGGGTACGTCTTGAGTTGGTAGATATCTCCGTTGAGAACACCTTGCGCGAATTGCTCCCCCTTCCAAAAGAGGTTCATTGTCGCACCGTCGATGATGGTGATCCCGCCCTTCTTCGCAAGTTGCGGGACGGATAGAAGGTTCACCTTCACCCCCGGGACGTGAAACACGCTCGTCACGTCCACCGGACCGCTATCGACGATAAGGCGAGTACTCCCAACTCCGACCACCGGTAGCGATTCGTTGTTTCCGAACACGATGCTCGTAACGTCTCCCGGAGCGCCAATGTTGTTGAGGAGCGACGCCGAGTGCATCATGTGTTGCGTTGCCCCGGTATCGAGGAACCACGCGTCGCTTGGAGTTTTGCTCCCGTTGCCGGCCACTAACACGAGCGACTCCTTTGAATCATCGGCCTCGCCGGATGCCGTGTGCGCGTTGCCCTCTTCGTCCCGCGCCTTCGATGGAGTCCAATCGCTCGGCCGCTTCCGACACTCCCGCCAAAAGTGTCCCGGTTTGCGGCAATAGTGACACTTGCCGCGATGCTCGCTCCCACCGGACGATTCCTTCGTTGAACCCTTGTTCCACTTGGTCGTCTTTCCAGAACTCCCTCCGGAGAACATGGCGGTCCCCTCGCTCTCATTCCCGAATTGTCGGCGACGTGATCACTCATGGAGAAGCCGACCGACCACCATTTCTTTCGTCCAAGTGCTTTGTACGCTATCGAGCGTCGTAATCACCGTCGACCACTCTTCCGAAAGGCCGCAAAGCAAGGTGAGAATCCAATCCTCCTCCGTGACCGTTCCACCGAGGTCTATGAACGTTTCCCCGAGTTCCTCCACACGAGTCGCATACTCGTGCATCGATTCGCCTGCTCGTAACTTCACCGTGTAGAACGCATTTCGGGCTAGGATCTTGCCGTGGAGAGTCTTGTTCACGTGCATCGTCTCGAGCCGCTTCCATGCTTCATGCGCCGACGCTTCGAGCTTGATGCACGTGCGCACCGAAATCACGAGGTTGATGCCGATGCGCGAAATCAACGTTGCGAACGCCTTTTGGTCCTTCTTCTTCCATGTCGCGATCTCGTCCTTGTTGACCGGCTTTTTCTCCGTTCCGTCGAAGAGACCCCAAAGTCCCCGTTCCATCATGAGCACTTGAAACTTAAATTTCCACGCGGAGTAGTTTTGTCCCGTGAAAATCGGAACCGCCGACGTGTCGACCACCGTTGCGTTTGTCCAGGGTTCGCCGGGATTCGTGACGACACCACCTAAGGAAGTGCCAGAGGTTTCGCTTGACGTCATCATGCTTGCTACAAGTCGCGCGCGTAGACTCCTCCGACCAGCTCTGATACCACTGTTGTAGAGGACTCTCCTCTACTTTGCAGGAACCAGGAATTGTTCTAAGCAGTAGAGCACTCTGCTAGCTTTCCAACGAGCCGTAGATCACCTCGTTCGCCTAAGTATCGAGCGAGACATCGCCGTTTATGTGCTAGGTAGTGCTCTTAGAAGCAAGGATAGGAGCTCTCTGGAATTTGTGCTCGAATGTACCTTGTACAAAGAACTCTGAGTTTCGCTCTGAAACATGCATACAAGGCAAGTCGATTTATAGCAAATGCATTACATCAAACCGCACATGTAACATCGCATCGCTACACTCGCATCGCGAATGCGCCGCGTGTAACATTTCGGTTGGGGTGAAATTCGGCCACCGAATTTCACACCGAACACACCGAATTCGCCTTGCAATTGAAGGTTGGAATGTGGTGCCGCCACGTGGCACCGAATTGTGAGTCTTCCGAAGTCAATCGGTGCCACCCCACCGATCCCTAGTCAAAGGGATCGAAGGCACCGAAGTGCCCTCGGTGGGTTGGGGGCATACAACCGCCCCACCACCGTACTCCCTCCAACAAGTTTTTGTTTAGCCTCTTGTTGTCTTGTACTAAGTCGACGCCGCCCTAATTGCCCCCCACCCTTGGCATTGTTGGCAGGAACTGCACCGATCGGCGTCGCGGAACAATCGGCGATACCTACGCCGCCGAGCAGTTTTGCCAGATCATGTTCAGGGTGCTGCCGACGTGGGCGGCCAAGGCGTGGAACCCGCGGGGTACGGGCCCGTCGTAGACGCTATGGCGGTTTCTGCTGTTGAAGGTGCTCACTCTACTCTCCCACCACTCTCTTCTACGCGGTGCAAGCATTCGCGAGATCACGCTCCCCGACATATTCTTGAACCGACTGGCGAGCACCTCGTCGGTGAACCCGGAGAACCAGCCGGTCGTCATGGTCATCGCTGCGCGGAACTCAAAGACGTCCAAGGATGCGCGTCTGCAGCAGAGCTGCGCTGCGCGGCATCTCGAAGCGGAGTTGTGCGCCGTCGGCGAGACGGGCCTATGGTTGCACTTCATCCTCGACCAGATCGGCCAGTTTCACGGCGTCCGCCTCATTCCGCCGGTGGACACCAGCACACGCGCGAGCTGGTACAAGAAGCACCTCTTCTTCGCCAATAACGACACCAACCAAGGGGAGCTCTTTGCGGCAAGCCACCAACGTTGGACGCGGCAGTTGTGGGACAAAAACGGGGTCTTCTGCAAGAGGAACGTGCATGCCGCTCGAGCCGGAGGGGCCTAGGAGCTGGCCATCGACGACACGCCGCGCGTCAAGATCGCAGAGATGGGTCACTCGGCGCTCGACAAGATGACGCGAGCGTACATCACCGCCATTCCGGTGGGGGTGGTGATGAAGAAGGCCGGTTACTCTGGTTACAAGCAGGACTACTTCTTGGGCCGGAGCAGGGTGGAGCCCTCCGATAAGCTCTTGAAGCTCCTCGGCGAGCACATCTTCCCCGGCGTCGACGACATGCTGAAGACGGTATGTTAGTCGACGCCCTCGTATCCTTGTTTCCGAGTCGTGTTGCCGACAGTGTCTGAACTCCTAATACACGTGACGAATTGCAGGCGGAAGGGAAGGCTGTCGTGGGGTCCGACGCCGACAAAGCCGCGGTGCACTTCTGGCGCGCACTCCAGATGCTGCGCCGCATCATCGCCGAGGACCTAGCGGTGAAGCTGGTCCGCACACCATGGCACCCGTACGTCCAAGGCTCCCTGCTCTGCTGGATCCCCTTCTTCCACCACTGGGCGAAACGGGTCGAGAGGGTCGACACCCAGACGACCAACAAGCATCGGGACCCGACCCAAATTCAGGCAGAGGTAAGTCGACGACGAGCTGGCTGTAGGGCATTCCAAACCACCTCGCGGCTAACGTCTTTGTCCTACCGCTGCAGGAAATCTCTGTCCGCATGGACACTGAGTACTACAACATATCCCTCAAGGCGAAGCTGACGAAGGAGATGGAGCGTGCCGCGAACGAGAGGATTGACTTCCTAGAGGAGCTCGAGAAGCGCGACAACACCATCGCGTCTCTCACCGCCGAGATAACCCGTCTCACCGAGGCAATCCGTGTGTCAGAAGCACGGAGAGTGCCGGAGGCCCCGCCGTGCGCTACCGCGCAAGCTCCCAGCGAGGGTGGCTCGGCGGATTCGGCCAACATGGGAGCCGGCGCCGATGGAGGGGACGACAAACCCCCTCCACCCCCACAGACGGACGAGGAGGCTAGTTACGAGCTCAACGTGGTACAACCGTGGCGGGAGGCCAAGACCGTGAGGGACGCCTGGCCCCTCTGGAACTCCGCCATCGCTAATGACACCCGTCGGCTTTGCGACAGGATCGCCGAGCCGGGGTTCATCGACCGCCACACCCTCCTCGCCGGCGCAACGCAGGGTGCACTCAACAAGAGGGTGCGCCGCATGCTGAAGGTCATGGATGCGGTGCGCCAGCTACGCGCGAGCGACGGCAACGCCGACACCAAGGTCGTGGTCGACACACTGCACAGGATCGCGGCATCGGGCATTGGGACCTTCGCCGATGCCCTCACGGTGCTCAAACCAGGAACGGCACCAATGTTGTCCAAAGAGCCTGGTTTGGGAGTCAAGGGGCTGGGCCCCAAGGTGGTCTCGAAGCTACGCCTTGCCTGTGCGCTTGTGGCGCTCAACCTGAAGCAGAGTGATTGGGTCAAAACCTTGTTTCCAGACACGTGGGAGGAGTAGATGCTGAAGACCAAGGCCGACCTGGCGAAGCCGACGGCCCCGGCCAAGTCGACAGCACCGGCCTAGCCGACCGCTCCGGTGCACCGTCCTCCGACCAAGCGCAAGAAGTCGGCATAATCGCGCCTGACCCCCCCCCCCCCCGACCCCCCCTTCCCTTCTTTTTCCAAATGGTGTTCCGGTTGTTTGTAACAACCCACTGCAAGGCCCTTGCGAACCTACTGGGTCCCGCTGTGTTAAATGTAGTCGGTCGCTCAGTAAGAAACAAAAATACTATCCTTGCTGAAATCTAAACACAGCTCGATGTCGACGTCTCGCAGGATTGCATGTTGCTAGGGTGTCAACATATTCGCCGACATAACTCGTCGCGGAGTAGCATGTGTCTACCTTCTCTATCATCGTTGCTCGCCGAGTAGCATGTTCCTTTTGATGTCGACATATGCGCCGACAAAGCGCATCGTTCAAAGTCGGCTAGCAAGTTTCAATGTGGACAGTGATTTACTAAAAAACAAAAACGATTCGTGCCCTACGATACAAAAGTCATTAGAATTACTACGACATCGGCGCCGACCATACTACCCTGCACACCACAGCCCGCCAACTACGCATCCGTACTGCCCTTGCCCTGCTTGCCCTTCTTCCTCTTGCTGCTGCCCTTACTCTGCTTGACCTTCTCCCCCTTCCTCCCCGTGTGATCCATATCGTACTCCATCCTCGCGTCACACAGCACATCGATGCCCTGCGCTTTGAGCTTGGGCCCGGCGACGGGGCACATTCCCCAGAACGCCAAGGTCTCGACCGTCGCTCTTGCGATCATGTCGGCCTCGACTTCCTCAACTCCCTTCGCGAAGGCCCTGGCCACTGCCTGGCTCTGCAGCGATGGCGCGGCGTTATGTGCAACCTCCCCCACGGGAGCCTGCCTACTGCGTGCTATGTCTACCACCGCGTGCATCACCTCCTTGAAGTCCTCGGCCCTCGCCTCCCCCGCACCTGCCACCATCGCCGTCGCCTTCCCTTTGCCCACAGCACCGAGCACCGACGCCCCCGTCTCCAAGAAGCACCAGATGGCGCATGCCCATGCCGCTAACGTCTGGGCCCCCATCTCCGTCTTCTCGTCCGCCTTCCCCTCCACGCTCGCATCGACCTTCCCAAACGCCGCGCTCGCCGTGACCTTCCCATACGCCGCGCACATCGACACGCGATTTACCATCGCCGACATGAGAGTGTCCGTCTCTTCCTTGCCTTCCTCCGTGTCCTCGATGATGGGGAACCAGATCGCCGGCCAGAGCACGTCATGAAGCGCATCACCCGCACTCGCGTACCCACGGTACCTGCCGAGTATGTCGTCGAACCTACCGCGCAAACACATTAGAACGACACGACTTCGTCAACATCAGCGTAATGACACGACTTGGTCGACAGAACTCGGCACGTCAGGATCCGTCTTACCGTGCTCTCGGATGGCACAAGCCTCTTGCCCACATCACCGTCCACATCCTAGTCGGCAAGAACTTGACCTCCGCCCACACCTCCTTCCATTTATCCAACTCCCCCGGCTTCAAGACGGTGAGCTCCTTCATGAGCACCTTGCTCACGTAGCCGTCGTAGACGACGAACGCAATCGCGTGCTCGTAGGCCAGCTCCATCTTCTCCCTCGACTTGCCGATGTACCGATTCTGTCCGTTTACCTTAATCTCGCCCTCCCACCCTTGCCCGTCGCCAGCCTTGTCTCGGCGGATGCCATGATCCCTGCGTCCATGCTCTTTATCTCCCTTGCCGCCCTCCTCGTCCTCCTCCTCCGCCTTCTCCTTCTTCGCCGGCTTACCCTTGCCGCCCGTCTTGTCCTGCTCCCCTTCCGCCTTCTTCCCTTTCTCTTCCGACATCAACTTCCCCGCAGACATCGCCCGCGTGCTCCTCTGAGAGACCGCCTTCCCTTTCCCGTTGTTGTCCTTTTCCTTCGTCCAACATTTCTCTCGGCGACAGCAGCCGTTGCGGCCGTCTGCTTTGCCGAACCCCCTCCATGGGTCGCCGACGGCACCACATGCGCCGTGTCCATGATGGCTGTAGCGGGGGCGTGCTCGGGGCGCTTTGCTGCTACAAAATGGGCCATGACGACAGCGAGGTTGGCATGCTTGTCTGCGCGGCCGCCGGTGGCGAGCGCTGCACTCACTCCCTTCTCCGCCGCCACATTGACCACAGATGCACCTAGTGTGGGTGCGGTCGCGTTTACCGACGTCGGCGTCGCGCTTTTGCCGAGTTCCGGCTGGGTCACTTACGGAGCAGCCGCTTTGCGTGCGCCTAAATGGGCGCGAAGAAAAGCGGACTTGGGGTCCGCAGGCGGTGGGGCGGCCATCGGAGGCGCGGCAGGTGGGGCACCGGACGACTTGCCGGCAACCTGCGTAGTGACGGAGCGACGTGCTGTTCCAGGAAGGCCGGCGTCGACCACGGGATGCTGCTGCACGTCCCTGCTATGTGCCTCCATGCGGCGGAGCATCTCCCTGACCGCGGTACCACTGGGGGGGGGCTTAGCTGATGCCACGACATCACCCTTAGCCGAAGAAGCCTTCGCGACGCCCTTGGCGGCAGCCGGGGCTGCTGGAGCTGGAGCAGCCTCCCCATCTTTGTTTGCACCTGAGTGGCCGGCAGGCGCGCTCGTACCCGCAAGGGGGTTACGGGGACTCGAATTGGTGGTGCCGGCAACCGTAGCAGAAGCAGGCTTGGCCGCCGCCGCGACGGACGGTCCCTTGGTGGTTCCGGAGTCGCCATCATTCGCCGCCTGAGCAGTTGGCACCTCCTTGTCGGTCACGCCTTTCCCACCGCTCGCCTGAGGATGGGTCTGCTCGGCGACCAAAGGCGGGCCAGTCGGAGCAGCTACGTAAGCGGCGACCCCGCCGGCACGGCCACCCTCTGCTCCCCCGCTTCCGCCTCCCTTGCTGTGCGACGTCCTTACCACCTTCCACCCCGCCTTCGTCTTCAGCTGGTTGACCACGCTCTGCTGTGCAGGCTTTGACCCGCGGCTACCGTCCACTCCCTTGCTCCACTTCGAGCTCTCCTTGTCGTCTCCGTCGCCCGTCCTCTTATGGCCCTGCTTCTCGGCCGTTTTCCTTTGCACGTTATCGGCGTCATTGGCCAAAGGCGACAACCCACGTCGACCTGGCGCCACAGTGCCGATCATCTCTGTCACCATCTTCATCCCGGAAGCAACGAAAGACTGCTGGGTGGCCTCCGTCACCGCCTTCATGATGTCGGCCTTGAACAACTTCAAAAGCTCTTCCGGGATGGCGGGCGGCGTGGGATGAGGCAATGGCGGCGGCGGCACGGCGAGCCTGGCGGTGGCGATGTTGACCTGCGCGGAGGCAAGGTGGTTCGAGACGTACTCTTCCAACCCCTTCTTCACATCGCCCACCACCGAATCTACGTGTTCGGCCAAGGCGGAGACCGCTAACGCCCGTGCATACGCGAAATGACCCTCCGAATTGTCGAAGTCCTCCAACCACTCCGTCGCCTGTTCCGCGAATGTCTTCATCAACTTCCACGCTTCGTCAAAGCTGCCGGTGATGTTGCCCGTGATGGTCTTCAACATGGCCTCCATCGCGTTTTGCAGCTGTTCCGCGGCATACTTCTCGGTGTCGTCGACCTGCTCGGCCAACCCTTTCACGTGGTCGACGAGTCCACTGATCCCAACAAAAAACCTGTCCAGCCGAGCCCGCTCCGCATCGAGCAACGTCGCCAGCCGAGCGTTCTCCGCCCGCAACAACCAGTTCTCCCGTCGCAGCTCCTCAACATCGTCCAGTTCAGGGCCCTGCCGACCAGGTGCTTCCCCGTTCTCCTGCACGCCCGTGTTGTTCGCCCCTTCGCCGGCGTCGACCGACACCTTCCCACCTCCCTCGCAGGCCGCCTCATGAAGGCCATTTCCCGTCGTTGCCTCCACGCCGACCTCGCCCTTCTCCTTCCCCACATCTGCCGACCTCGTAGCATTTCCCGCGCCGTCATCCTTCTCTTCCTCGTTCCCCTGATCTGCCGGCCCCACCGCCTCTTTCGCCGCTCCCGCCTCAACTGTACCCTCTACATACTCCACCACGAGCTCCACCTCTTCATCCCCCCCCTCCTCATCCTTCCCTCCCTCCCACTTCTCACCATTCTCGTCCTTATTCTCCTCCTCCTCCTCCTCCTCCTCCTCCTCCTCCTCCTCCTCCTCCTCCTCCTCCTCCTCCTCCTCCTCCTCCTCATCCTTGTCCTTACGCTTCACCGCCTCGTCTTCCTCCTCCGACTCCGACTCCGACTCAGACGACGACGACGAATTCTCCGTTTCCAACCTTCCCGCACCTGCCTCTGCGTCGCCTCCTCCACCGTTTCCACCTTCCCCATGCACCCTCGCGTTCCCCTGATGCTGGGCAGCAACTGCACCTTGGGGCGCCTTCTGTCCTTCCGCGCCGTCGTCATCAATGGCACTGTCGGCGGGTCCGGCAGCTTGAGAAGTCGGCGCCGCGGTGCGTTTTACGGCAATGACCTTGCCGACGTACTCAACCATGCTGTCGCGCAAAGCCTTCAGCCCCTTCATCCCGACGCTCTCGATGCTCACCCCACTACGACCCTTCTCGCCTGTCAGATGGTCGATCTGTATCGCTACCCACCCGAACGACGTCGCGGAAAGCACGCCGGCACCGACATGCCCGTCCGACACTGTGCCCGGCACTTTCTGCATACAAGCACGGAACATGATGAGCGGAGCATTCAGAAACGGGCACCCCCCTTACTACTTGAACGTGCAACTCACATCGCGGATAGGGTGGTCGTAGTCGGCCAGCCTGACCTCCACCACTACTTGTGATGGCGGCGCCCAGTCCGACATCCTACCGTGACGCCCCAGCTCGGCCAGGACAGCCGTGCGGAAGAACCTGAAGCACCGCGGTGGAGGGAGGCGGTCAGCGTGTGATACCCTGTGTCGCCGACTAACAAGCGAGTCATCGACGACAATTCAGCACTTACTTTAGCACGCGGGCGGCCTCGTCGCGGTGATACCCTTTACTGGTCTGCGGGTCGATGTGCCGGATTGAGGTCCTGCACACCTGTCCCTCAGCCTTCAACAGATCTCCAGGGTATAGGATGGCAATGACGCTGCAATGCATTCCTGGAAGCGGACCGAGGCTGCACATGCAATTCACGACGGCGTCGATCACAACACCACGCGATGTCGCGACAACGATATGGACCGTAGCCCCGACGCCGATAACTCGGCGCCGACTTCGGCTGACTTCCCTCTTCGTCACCCAATGGGTCGTGGTCTCAGCTTCACTCTAGAATTCTTCCCACTCTAGAGTGAAGCTGAGACCACGACCCATTGGGTGACGAAGAGGGAAGTCAGCCGAAGTCGGCGCCGAGTTATCGGCGTCGGGGCTACGGTCCATATCGACTAAGGGGAAGCGATATCACAATAGCACAGAGCAACGAAAGGAGAAAAAAAGGAGAAAAGGAGGAGCGAAACGAGATGCGGAAAATGGGGACTGAGGCCACCATCCACAAAGAAAAGGAGACGGTGGCCCACCGCATCCCCGTTCAGCGTCGCCCAAGGGTGTGGGGCCTGGCTTGGCAGGGCTCTGAGGGCGCATGCGCAAGTGGAACAGGTGGTCCGACTCCGCTTCGGCAGGGCGTCGACCTCGCGTCCATTGGCCCAGGTCGACGAGGGGACGCAATTTCGCATGCGCGAGGAGCGTCCATTCGCACGACACGTGTCGACTTCGTAGCGGGTAACGAACCTCGTTCTCCGCGTTGCGGGCTTTTTTTTTTTTTTCGCTCGCAACGAAATATCGCATGCGCCCGATGCGAAACCACGAGCGAACACGTGGCGTCACCACAACGGGTCGCAAAATTGTCGAGCGTCCCGAGGGGGCCCCGAGTTTTTTCCCGGCCCTCGCCTGCCCATCCGGGCAGGCCGCGATTGTCAAACATTATATATGTTGTTGTAGCTGTTTAGGCCACAGTGGGTTAGCCTATAGGGGGTACACATTCCTAGGTTTTGACACTTGTACTCATTTCACTCTTAGTTCATTCATTCTTGTTCAACATGGTATAGAGCAGGTCCTTCCTAGGACCGATTTTTTTAGGGCCCACCACTACCTACCTACCTACCTGCGCCCTAGGGCGCCTCGGCTTTCACGCCCCTAGAGACCCCGTCGGCCCCGCGCTCTCGCACCTAGAGGCCTCGGTCGGCCCCGCGCTCGCTATTAGAGGCCCCGAATCGGCCCCGCGCTTACCCCTAGAGGCCCGCGTCGGCCCCGCGCTCGTCCTTACCGGCCCCGATCGGCCCCGCGCTCGTCCCTCACGGCCCCGATAGGCCCCGCGCTCGCCCTTAGAGGCCCACGTCGGCCCCGCGCTCGTCCCTTACGGCCCCGATCGGCCCCGCGCTCGTCCCTCACGGCCCCGATAGGCCCCGCGCTCGCCCTTAGCACCCACGTCGGCCCCGCGCTCGCCCTTAGCACCCACGTCGGCCCCGCGCTCGTCCCTCACGGCCCCACCCGCTCCCCGCGCTCGCCCTTAGCGGCCCCGAACGGCCCCACCCAGACCGAGCAGCCCGAACCGAGCCGACCCGAGCCGCCCAGCCCTAACGGAACCGAGCCGCCCGACCCGAGCCGCCAGCCCTAACCGACCCGAGCCGCCCGAACCGAGCCGCCCGAACCGAGCCGCGCCGCCCGACCCGAGCCGCCCGAACCGAGCCGCGCCGCCCGACCCGAGCCGCGCCGCCCTACCTATACCGAGCCGCGCCGCCCTACCTGTACCGAGCCGCGCCGCCCTACCTACCCTACTGCTCCTACTGCTTTTCCTACTGCTGCTACCATGGCAAGCCCTCCTGTCCTAGCCTTCGATACTGAGGGCCGCCCAGTGAAGTTCGACACCTGGCTTGATGACCTACACCTCTTCCTACAGCTCACTGCCAAGGAAGACATCTCGCTATACGATCATGCCTTAGGCCACGCTACTGCTCCTGCTGCTACTGCTGACAGCACTGCCCGCTCACAGTGGCAGACTCGTGACGCCCATACTCGCTTCGCTATTCGCAACTCTCTGCCGATTGATGAGCGCGAGCACTTTGGGCAGCACAAGACTGCACAGGCACTGTACACTGCTGTCGTTGCCCGCTACTCCTCGCCGGCCTCTGCCGCTCTAGGCCGTCTCTCTCTTCCCTACCTGTTCCCCGACCTAGCTTCCTTCCACACTGTCGCTGATCTCATTACCCACCTCCGCACTAGTGAGGCTCGCTTCCGCGCCGCTATGCCTGATGAGTTCCTTGCCAAGAACCCACCCCCGCTCTGGCTCACTCTCTACCACCTAGTCACGCGCCTCCCTGACACTCTGTGCTCAGTCAGGGACCACTTCCTAGCTCGCTGCCCCACCGAGCTCACCATTGCCCTCCTCGAGAAGGAACTGCTTGCAGCTGAGGCTAGCATAGTCGCTGTAGGTGCCTCTCGCGGTGACCCCCGTACCCCGTTCTTTGAGGGGTGTTCTCCCTCCCCCCTTCTTCCCTCTGTCGCCTCTGCTGCTGCTGTCGACCTCCTTGGTGCTGAGAAGTTCGGGACTGCGTCTGCTTCGAGTGGGCGCCGCAGCGGCAAGGGCAAGGGGGGCAAGGGCGGTGGTGGTGAAAGCGGGGGTGGCGGTGGTGGGGGAGGTGGTGGTGGCGGGGGGGGTGGCACGGGTGGGGGAGGTGGCAGCAGTGGGGGGGGTGGCGGCAGCGGCGGGGGAGGTGGCCGGGGCGGAGGAGGTGGTGGGGGTGGCGGTGGACGAGGCAGCGGCCGGGGTTGGGGTGGTCGAGGAGGTGGTAGCGGCGGTGGTGGTCGTGGAGGCACTGGCGGTGGCCAGGGCCAGCAGCACACTCCGTCGCCCCAGGAGGTCCGTGAGTGGTACTCTCAGCACGAGGGGGGGGGGGGGTGGCCTTAGCTGCACGTACGTCATTCGCACTGGTGACCGCACTGGCCAGCCGTGTGGGGGACCGCACGCCACACAGCGTTGCTTCGCTCGTCTGAACGACGCTTGGCGTGTTCAGTTCCCTCAGGCCACTGAGCTGCCCCGCTGGGTTGATCTCCTGAAGAAGGGGATTGATATTTATGCTCTAGACTTTGATGCTATTCTCACTGCCATGTATGTGATGTCTACTAGTGGAGAGGGTGCTGAGTACCTGAGTGTCCCGCCCGACCCGGGCATTAGGACTAGTGCGTCTGCCGCTCCAAGTACTCGCGTGTCCGCTACCCCAGGTGCTGGTGAGGCTGCTGCTCTAGGTGCGTGTACGTCTGCCCCCCCTAGTACTGTGTCGACTGCAGCACTGCACACCTTCACACTGGATTCAGGTGCCTCTCGCTGTTTCTTTCGTGACCGCACTGCCCATGAGCCCCTTGCTCGGCCAGTTGCTGTCTCCCTCGCTGACCCCTCTGGAGGTCCGGTCCTTGCGACCTCCTCCACTGTCCTTCCCTGTCCTGCGGTCCCGTCGGGCACACTGTCAGGTCTCCACCTCCCCTCGTTCTCTACGAACTTGGTGGCAGGTTGTGCACTACAGGACGCGGGTGTTCACCAGTTCACCCCTGCCTACGAGCGTGTCACACACTGCACGTGTGCCCGTACAGGCCGCCACTTGGCTACCTTCACCCGGCAGCCGGGGTCGGATCTGTACACACTGACTACTGCCCCCCCTCAGGTCGCTGCGTCTGCGTCTGCGTCCGCGTCAGGTCAGCTGTCCACCCCCTGCTCGTGTCGCTCTCTAGCACACGAGACAGTCCTCTGGCACCACCGACTGGGCCACCCGTCTGTGCAGCGCCTTCGTGCCATGCACTCCCGGTACCTTGTCTCTGGTCTTCCCAGGGTCCTCCCTCCCCTCCCACCCTCGCCTGCTCCTCCCTGTCTTCCCTGTGTCGAGGGGCGGCAGCGCGCCGCTCCTCACTCCTCCTCGTTTCCCCCGACGACTGCTCCTTTGCAGACGCTCCACATGGACGTGTGGGGCCCAGCCCGCGTCCGTGGTCAGGGTCAGGAGAGGTACTTCCTTATCGTTGTTGACGACTACTCGCGCTACACCACAGTCTTCCCCTTGCGAGCCAAGGGTGAGGTCCCTGATGTTTTGATCCCTTGGATCCGCAGAGCTCGTCTCCAGCTCAGCGAGCGTTTCCGCTCGGACTTTCCTGTCCTGCGCTTGCACTCTGACAGAGGTGGTGAGTTCTCCTCCGACCTCTTGGCAGCCTACTGTGCTGCGCACGGCATTGAGCAGTCGTTCACGCTTCCGGCCTCTCCACAGCAGAATGGGGTTGCGGAGCGCCGCATTGGCCTGGTCATGGAGGTCGCTCGTACCTCCTTGATCCATGCGGCTGCCCCCCACTTTCTGTGGCCGTTTGCGGTCCGGTACGCTGCGCATCAGCTCAACCTCTGGCCCCGTGTCTCCTTGCCGGAGACCTCGCCCACACTGCTGTGGACGGGGGAGGTTGGCGATGCGTCGCGTTTCCGGGTCTGGGGATCTCGAGCTTTTGTCCGCGATTCGTCTGCGGACACGCTCTCCTCTCGTGCTGTTCCCTGCGTCTTCCTCGGCTTTGTTCCGGACGCGCCTGGTTGGCAGTTTTACCACGCCACCTCGCGCCGGGTCTTGCCCTCTCAGGACGTCACTTTTGACGAGTCTGTCCCCTACTAACGCCTCTTTCCCTACCGCACTGCCCCGCTCCCACCCCCGCCTCTCTTCCTCGCGCCAGGTGCTGCTGTCGTAGACCCCCTCCCCCCTCAGGGTGCCGCTCCCTCAGGTGTGTCTCTGGTAGACCCGGTCGAGCCTGTTGAGGTTGCCGTCGACTCTCGTCCTGCTGGGGGTGCTGAGCCTGGGGGTGCGGA